ACACACATAAATTTCTTTCATCATCAGTTTAAATTTCATATAAATTATAACCAAGCATTTTATAAACAGTAGAATCTCTATATCTATAAAACTATAAATGTCGAGTAATCAATCAATGAATAATTGTCTCACCCAAAAATCAAGAAAGAAATGCATAATTGAAGGGACAATGTATCTACACAAACTTCTTTTCAATGCCTGCCGGACCTGACCATAAATGAAATAATACAATAAAAATGTGGTCTCAAAAATGAAATTGTACAAGCAAGGGAAAATTGACCACAAATAAAATAATGAAACCAAAATAAAAATGTGGTCCTTAATCAATGTGATAACAGATGAAATTATATAACAAGCAATTTTCTTTCTCTTCCAATATTGCATTTACTTCTTTGGAAGGATGAATTAAATTTTAATCTTTAATAATTATTTTTGTCCTCAAAAGAAGTAGATATATTAATTTGTTCCCTTTCTTCAATTCATAATCACATGTCAAGCATGACTTGAGGCTTGGCTTTCAAGGATTTAGAAAATATCAAGCCTTATAGTTGTGACGTCAAGTTCACTCATCAAGTCAATTAAGTTTCAATTAATTACCTAACCATCAATTTAAAAAAAAAAACAAGAAATCTAGAAAGAGAAGCCCTCTACTTTTGAAGACTTTGTGTGTTTTCATAATTGCAAACAAATAATAAAAAATAAATATGGTATCTAATATTTAAATTAAATTTTGATAATGAAAAAAAATGAAAAAACATCTGACTTTTTTTATAATCACTAGCCACAGATAAAATTTGGCATTTTTTTATCTCTAGAAAAAGAAAAATAATTATGAATCATAATAAAATATAGTTACACAATTTGGGAAAACATGCATGATGTTTGCTGAATAGAAATAAGAAAATAAAAACTTAATAACCTCTGTTAACTCATTTGATTAATTCTTCTGTTTTTTAGTTGGATGGAATACTTTTGATATGAATAGAAATAAGAAAATGAAAAATATTCTTTTGTTATCCTACAAAAAAGGTTAACAAAGTGAGCTGTGGCCATCAAATCTTTGTTTTATTACCAATAAGTTTTCATGTTACTGAGGGTGTATGAGTGTTTTTAGTTTTACTTTTAACTTTTAAAATATTTATTTTTTTGTAATCGTTATTTATAATTTATTATGTTTTATAGTTTAAGTTCATTCATTATATCAAAATTGATGTGGATGATGATAAACTTGCGAAGATATTTATTAAATTTTTATTATTTGTATGGTTGGATGTTAGTATATTATTTACCGCACCAATAATTAAGCAGTGATTTGGGTATCATAATTGAATTTGGGGAGTTACTCATAAATATACTGGCCTACAGCTACTCAGGAAAAATACATATCATCATCATCATCAGAATCTTAATTAATTGTATATCTTGCTGTATATATTATTATTGGATATATAGTTTATAAATTCATGAATATACTTACAGCTACTCTGGAAAAATATTTATTGACGAATTCTGTTTTGACTTTGTCTTCTTATATTTTTAATTTAGATTATTTTTGATTGATTAATATGAAGTATGTATGGACCACTTAGCACTTGCTTCCCCCCTAGATTATTTCCATTTTGCATGGAAATAGAGAGTGACTTTGATGCCCACTCAAAAGTCAAACATGTCTATGAAGAATTTTGATATCCAATCAAAGATTTTTTTTTTCTTTTATGCCTACTCACAAGTCTTCCCACTATTAACGTATATTTGGGGTTGCCCTCTATATATGGCCTACCAAACCTAACCATAAATTTCTAAATGAAATAATGCAATGAAATGAAGATATAGTCCAAGAATGAAATTATGTTCATCATAAGGGACAAATTAAGCTTCTTACCACTAATGTAGTTTTTGGGTTGTTCTATGACCTATACAAAGCTGCTTCAAATGAAAATATTGTTCTTAAAGTGATAACAAACCACTTTTTGGGATGAAGCTTCTTTGCATCATTGACATGATTTTCTTTCTTTTTCATTGTATCAACTTCTTTTACAGGATAATTTTATGTAATAGTTATTCATATCTTTACTCAGCTCACAAGTCAAGCACACATGCATTTCATAATTTAAAAGTATATTATCAAACACAATATACAATATTTTTATTTTATATTAATTTTTTCTTCTTCTGGATCATATAAAAAATAAAAATATTTTTAACTCATATTCAGTTTGATAAAGATTTGTATTTCTTGTAATTGATTTATCCACGATGTATTTTCTCTATAAGAATTTTGATATTAAAACATCTTTTGATATTCAATCTAGGTCTGAAGAATTTTGATATCCAATTAAATATTTTTATGACTACTCACAAGTCTTCCCACTATTAACGTTCTCTTCGGGTACCCGCTATATATGGCCTACCAAATCTGACTATACTGAAATTATGCAATGAAAATGAAAATATGGTCCAAGAAAATGATATTGTATACTTCGTAAAGGAACAAAACTTCTTATCACTAGCATACAATGCTGGTTCTTGATGAAGTGATAACAAGCCATGTTTAAGTACAAAGCTTCTTCCCATCACTAACAAATTTTTCTTTCTCTTTTATTGCATCAAGTTCTATCTTTACTTAGACTCATAAGTCAAGCATGCCATGCATTTCATTAATACTCATCCATGTAGAAATAAAATTCTATTTTTTATAATTGAAAGTTTATTATTAATAACAATATTCAATATGGTTTATTTTATATTTTACTCTTCTTTTAGATTAGATATAAAAAATATAAAAATATTGGCACTCATATGCATCACTCTCCCACCATTATAACAGAGACGGAAGACCATTGGTTGAACGGTCTTCAGCCCAAAGGACTAATGTGAGTCCAATAATTAATATAAAAAATAGGATAAATTATAAAATACTCTTCTAAACTTTGAACCATATACACGTAACTTCTTTAAACCTTGAAACTTTACAATGAACCTCCCTCAACTCTTATATATTTGCAGATAACTCTGTATAATTAAATTTATACATTAATTTTTATACATAACTTAATGTCTAGGGAGCTTATCCGTATATCAATGAAAGTTTGAGAGTTTAAATACACTCAAAAATAAAGTTAATGGGGGTACATAATTAATGCCAGGGCTTATTTGCATAAACTTGAAAGCTCAAGGAGGTTTATTATTAAGTTTTAAAGGTTAAGGAGGTATTTTGTGCATGGTTCAACATTTAGGGGAATTGTGTGTAATTTAGCCTAAAAAAAATTAAAAAATTTGTGTTTCAATAGTTGATTCTGACTTTAATTGGTTCTTTTAAGGCCAAAGTACTAATGTGAGGCTAATTAATATCAACAAATCTAAAAATATTTGTGTTTCCATAATTGATTCTGACTCTAAGGCCTTACAGACTTGACTCCGAATTAATAATACAGTGATAATACTAAATTTTTTTTAATGCGTTCAGAGTCAGAATATATGTATCGCCTGTCATCATTTACTTGTAAATTTTCTATCAAACAATTATGATTTAATAAATTCATATGTATTAAATTATATAGTCAGTGCCTTTTTTGGGCAAATATCAGTGCCTTGAATTATCTACAAGCTTATAATATTATACATACTATTAATTGAATTAGCCACGTATAATGATGAGAATGAGGGAAAACACGCACAAATTAAAAAAAAAAAAAAAGCTAGAAGGAGAAGCACTCTGCGTTTGAAGACTTTGGCCGGGTATTTTCATAATTGCTAAAATAAAACATAAAATTTTTTCTGATATATAAATTAAATATTGAGAATTTAAACAAATATTAAAAAAACACTTCTGATTTTTTTGTGCACTGGGATTCTCCTATTAGAAATAATCATGTTTTGAGACATGGTTGGATATTAAATATGAATATTTCTTCTTATGAGAATTCAAATATTGGTTCGCCACATGTGAAAATTTAGCTCCTTATATTAGAGCATTGATACACTTCTAAATTTTTTGATAATCACAAGCCACAAATATTTTTTATCTCCAGAAAACGGAAAAATATTCATAAATTATGATAAAATATAGTTAACCACTTTGGGAAAACATACCTGATGTTTGCTGAAATTTGTTCTGCAATACCAGGAGATCTTGTCGGATATAAGATAGATTTTTTTTGGGTCGATGTATAAGACAATATCTAAAAAAATTTCATATGATAATTTCAAAAACTTTAAAATTTAATACTTAAGTATATTTATATAACTTTGTTTAGTTTCCAATATATGTCTCTTTTTTATTTCTTTTATCTTTTATTTATTTTGGGTTATTACAGTAAATTTCAATCATGCAATTCTTTTACCGCTCTAAAATAAATAATAATATAAAAGTCTCCTTAACTCATTTCATTAATTCTTCTATTTTATTGGATAGAATACTTTTGATAGAAATAGAAATAGGATTAAAGAATACTCCTTTCGTTATTCACTAGAAATGTTAACAAAGTGAGTTCTGGCAATCAAATCTCTGTATATTATTGGATGATAGTTTATAATTTAGTTTGATTAGATGGAAAAGTTAATTTGGCTTTTATTGTGTCACAATTTTTTTTTATTTTGACATTTTTCTTATATTTTTATTTAATTTTTTTAATTGATTGACACGAGACCCAGTTATATAACTTTTATAATTGGAAAGTCTTTATATAATTAAATAACAAATGTGAAATATATTTTATCTTTAAATAACAATTGTGAATATATTTTATCTTTCTGTTTTGGCCCATATTGAAAAATAAACATATTGTCAATTCAATTTAATACGTAGTTATAGATGGACTTTTTTCCCACCTTCTCTCTCTCTCTATAATGTGTTGTTAAATATGATCGAATTTATTCAGTTATCCATCAATCAAAGCAACGTGTGTTAGCACGACTTGTCTTGACTAGAATTAGAGAACTATAAAACGGGTGCTAATTCCTCAATGCACAAGACTCACAATTTTGACTGATATGTTAAACATGGCGAAACCTTCTTCCTTTGTTTTCCTCTTCTTACTTCATTGCCTCATGCCCTCCTTAGCTTGGACTGATGCAAGCATCACCACCGACAAATATGCACTTATTGCCCTTAAATCCTCTATCACTTCAGATCCATACAATTTCTTAGCTAATTGGTCTACCTTTTCTCCATGTAATTGGGTTGGCGTTACCTGCAATGCTCATCATGGAAGGGTCCATTCCTTGAATCTTGCTGGCATGGATCTTAGAGGCACTGTATCTCCACAATTGGGAAATCTTTCATTCCTTGTTGAACTTGATCTCAGTAACAACAACTTGAATGGTCAAATGCCAGCAGAGTTAGTTCGATTACATCGACTAAGACTATTCAACTTCAGCTACAATGACTTTCATGGACAAGTTCCAGCATGGATAGGAGATTTATCTATATTGGAGCACTTAAATCTTCGAAATAACACCTTTGATGGATCTATTCCACCATCTCTATTCAATCTAACAAGGTTGGAGACTTAGATTGGAGTCTAATTTAATTGAAGGAACCATTCCTGTTGAGATAGGAAGACTTGAGTGCTTGAAAATTTTACAACTATCGAGAAACAAACTTTCAGGAATCATTCCTCAAGCAATTTCCAACTTATCTTCACTTGAGTTATTGCATTTGTCTTATAACACTTTGTCAGGTATGGTTTGGATTATTTTAAATTTCTTTATTTGTCTTTGCTCTATATTAGGTTGGCAGGATATTATCATGGAGGAATCTAGGTTTTTCTCAATTTCTGTTTTTTTTTTTTGGTATTTATGTACATTTCTTTTTATGTTTTGCCAGCATTCTTTCTGATCTCTTTTAAAAGAAAAAAATTGGCATCCAATTTTTTATAAAGCTAATAGACACACCATGGGAAAGATAATATTGCTATAATGATAGTCCAAATTAATAGATCTAAAATCAATGATTAAAAGTAAATGTTTATTATTCTTTTCATTAAAAACTTTTGAATGGTCTGTTTTTCATTTAAAATAATGAGTAACCCTTGCAAGGTACAAATCTGGAACATTTAATTTTGATTTGGATAATTTAAATTATATTTTAGTTTTAATTTTTAAAAAGCATGTAGTTAGCAAAAATGATTTTTTTAGAGTCTCCCAACAAATTGTTTTGATAGGAATGATGAAAAGCAAAGGCCAAATCAGATTTCAATGTGTTTCTTAGATTTTTTTTTTATCATAGTTAATTGAAGGAACTTAGAATCTGATTTCTTGAATGAGTCGAATACATCTTACAAGATATAGAGGAATTTGCCAAAATAATTAATCCACCAAATCCGGAAAAGATAACAGTAATAAATCTAAATTAAATTATCCTGATTTCATATATCCTGTGATATGAAACAAAGTAAAATAATAAACTGAACTGAAGCATAAAACAGTGTAATAGGCCCAATACGTAATCCTACATATCCAAATAATTTATTCCATGGTGGTTCCTGTTTTATAATAATTGTAGTTGTGTTTAATCATTTGGAATATATTTGTGTTTGTTCTATACTACTATGTATGTTTTTATCATTTTTATTAAAAATATAAAATTGTTACTTAAATGCTCTTTTTGCTCCCTTCTAATATTTCAAGGAGACATTCCCAATAAGATTGGTGATCTTTCACAACTAAAGATGTTGTATCTTGGAGTGAATCAACTTGTTGGTTCTATACCATCTTCATTATTTAATAGTTCAGTGCTACAGCACATTGAAGTTGGAATAAATCAATTATCAGGAAGTCTCCCAACAAATGTGTGTCTTGGGCTTCCAAAACTTGAATTATTTTATGTGAATGGAAAATGATTTGTCTGGCGAAATGCCTTCCATTTGGCATCAATGCAAGGACTTGAAATATCTATTATTAGGTGATAACATGTTCAATCCAGGAATTATTCCAAGTGACATTGAAATTTGTGACCAACCTCCAATCATATATCTTCACAACAACAACTTGAAAGGTAAGAGTCTTAATTATAAGATTGTCTTAAAATTCTACTCCAGCATTTTGATACGCACCAATGAATATTGATAATTCTACTAGATTACTTTTATAGGCATGGAATATGATGCTTTATATGTCAATTAGCTCTTGATTAGATTAACTAATCCCAAAGTGAATACGAATAAAGTGACATATATGATATATAGAAGTTGTAAAAATGAGAGGAAAGTGAAGAAAGAATTTTTAATTCAGATGGAAGCATATCAAAATCTATAAGCTAAGTGTGTAATTTGTTCATAGATATACCCCATATCCATATGGGTGTGTAACATCTCAAATAGAAATAAATTTGAAGTAATATATCCATTAGTTTTTCATCATTTCATTTATTGTCCATGTTTTTGTCTTGGGATTTATATGTGTGCATTCATGAGACACATTATTATGGTGAAATAAAATTTCAATTCAATTATATTTGTAGAAAACATCAAGTAACTGCACATTTTAAAAGATTTGTAATATTTGATAATATAAAAATAATAGAAAGGACAGTTTATCCTAATTCTTCCCCTTTGCCTTTTATTTTTCTTTTTCTTTTTCTTTTTTTTTTGCCTGCATTTTCTTTTCAAAGGCAAGTTTTCTTTCCTTTCCTTTTCTTTTTTCTTTACAAATATAAGAAAACAACTTGGAAGGTATTACCTTTTAATTATATCCATGATATGTCTATATACATGGATGTGTTTTGAATTTTTGGCTCTAATATACAGGCTTCTAGCAATATATTTAAAATAGGCTTTTCTTGTTTCTGTTCTTATTTTTTCTATCATGTTTTATGTTGCCAAATTCACTTTAACATGTATTTTGTCTCTTGTATTGCTAGAAAAACATTTATATTTTAGAAAAACCAAAAAAAAAAAATCTCATATGCAAAGTAAAAAAAAACAAAATGGTGACAGTAGTGTTTACATATATTGATGCTTGATGTGATGAGAAATTAATATAAATTTTTTAAATATAATGTCAATTATATCATAACAAAATTGACACTTCACAATTTTTTTTAATAAGCTGACACTTTACTATTTTTATCACTACTTCTAATCTTATATCAATAATTACTGTATAAAAAACTTAGATTTTTTTTAAAAGTAAATCTTCTATGAAATTTTTTTGGGCTGGATTAGATCTCTTGGATTTGTTTAAAGAAATTCTTTTAAATCACAGTACTTCATGTAAGCCCACATATTCCAAGCCCAATTATCACATCTTTTGGCACATTAGTTTTTCCCTCGCATACAAATTAGTTCATAGTTGTATTTTTTCTTTTTTTTTCATATTTTTCCCCATAATTTTATATAATAAGTATTTCATTAAAAATTATTTTTTTATTTTTTAAAACTTATAACAGAGGAATGAAAAAATTTATAATAGATAACGATATATAAACAAAACAAAATGGTAAACAAAACCCACATTTATCACAATCTATCATGTAACAATAAAGAAAACAAACACAAAACTCTGAAATTAATAACAAAGTACATAACGATATATTCTCGATACTAAGAAAATAAATAAAATGCATCATTTTAATTCATTTGCATTTAGAGAGGAGCCCTACATGTTTGATTCAAAATTATACATTCTAGAATTAAATAATACATTTCAAATTAAAAAGAAGTTAAATAGGATAAATACTGAAAAAGAAGATAAGTAAATAAGGAATGATGAACAGAGAGAAAAATATAAATTTTAAAATGACTAGGAGAGAAAGTAAAAAAAAAAAAAGATATATCATTTTATAAGTTAAATCGGGGGAACAAATTTTCAAGAGTGATTTCAACAATAATTTCCTAATCTCTTGGATAGAAATAAATTTGAAATGAGATCATTTTGTCTTCACACACACATATCTCGATGACACACACTAATGCAATGGTGAAATAAAATTTTAAATCAGTTAAATTTGTGGAAACTTTTTCAAATGCAAAACGTAGCTACACTTCTTTAAAAGCATTATATTTTAAATGATTTATTACTTACAGGTGACAATAAGATTTTAGAAATGTTTATTTTGATAATTTGTAATATCTACATTATTTGTTTTCACTATAATGATATAATTGGATATATAGGGATAATAGAAAGGACCACTTGGATTTGATGCTTCTCTCTTGCCTTTTATTTTTCATTTCCCTGCATTTTCTTTCCGAAGGCAAGTTTTCTTGTTTTTTATTACACAAATAGAAAACAACTTGGAAGGCATTAATTTTAATTATATCCATTATATGTCTATATACATGGATGAGTTTTGAATTTTTGTTTCTAATATACAGACTTTTCTTGTTTCTGTTTTTAATTTTTCTATCACATTTCATGTTATCAAATGCATTTTAAATATGTATGTACTTTGTCACTTGTATTGCTAGAAAAATATTTATTTTGCATCAATAAAAATAAAAAATCTCATATACATAGTAAAATAAAATAAAATAAAATGGTGATAGTATTATTTACATATATGCTTGATGTGAGAAAAATAATATATTTAATAAATATAATTCCAATTATATCATATGAAGATTGACATTAGTAATTATCATTTCTGATAATCTTATATCAATAATTACTGTAAAAAAAAGCTTAAATTGTTTAAAAGTAAATCTTCTGACCACATATTCCAGGCCTAATAATCACATCTTCTGGTCCATTAGTCCTTGCCTCATACTTCAAGTCCATATACAATCAATAAACATTTTTTTCATAGTTGAAGGAACTTAAAATCTAATTTCTCGAATGAGTTGAGAACATCTTACGAGATATATAGGAATTTGGTAAAAATAATTAACCCACGAAATATGAAAAGATAACAGTAATAAATTTAAATTAAATTATTCTAATTTCATATATTCTGTGATATAAAACAAAAATCAATTATAATTATTTCATTAAAAAAAATTTATATTTAAATCATAAAACAGATGAATTAAAAATTTAATAATAGACAATGACATATAAATAACTATAGAAATCAATTACATATAATGTTATAGGAATTGAATCAAAGTTTTCAATACAACAAAAAAAAGAAGTTAGTTTAACCATATCTTGGGCTAAAAAATTATGGCTATTTTCCCCCCGAACCAAGTTAGACAGTAATCATTGAAATTAAAATGAACAAAAAAATGGTACACCGACCTGCATATATCACACCCCATCCGAGAACATTAAAGAAATCAAACAAAAAACTCTGTGAAATTAGATAACATAGAACAAAACAACTAATGAGATATTCTCAATAATCAGCAAATAATAAAATGTATCATGTAATTCATTTAGGTTGAGAGTGAAACTCCACTACATGTTTAATTTAAAATTATGCTATGTGAAATTAAATAGCAGTTTTCAAGTTAAATTTAGTCATATACTCATTAATGAATAAATGTCTAATTTGACAAAATTTAAATTTTGGGAGATAAGAAATAGGATAAATACTGAAAAATAAGTTGAATAATAAAGAATGACGAGGAGAGAGAAAAATATACAGTTAAAATGAATAGGGGAGAAAGTAACAAAAAAAAATCATTTTATAAGTTAAGTTGAAGGCAACAAATTTTCAGGAATGATTTCAACAATTTATCTTCACTCGAGTTATTGAAATTGTCTTATAACAATTTGTCAAAAGACAGGCTTCAAAAAGTATTTTAGATTGTTTTAATATCTATAATTGTCTTTGTTCTAAACTCATCTATTTGGTTTGCTGAATATAATCCTTTAAAGATGATGCAGAGGAATGTAGGTCTATTCTCCACTAGAAGAGTATTGTGGTAACGTAATTTTGATGATATATCCAATTCTCAAGTAAAAAAGATTTTTTTTTATTATTCACTCTACTACATTTGCATCATATTTGTTTTGAACTCCTGGAAGATTTCAAGTGAATTAATATGATTTCATAAAGCTTTTTGTGTTTCATTCTACTATTATCTCTTATTTTTTATTCTTTTTATGACACCTATACCTGTTTAGTGTTAAAAAGAATTGTGAGAGCTTCTAACTACATGCTCACTTTAATGCAAAATATAAGTGAAATTCTATCATCTTTCTTCAACGTTTCTTCTTCAATAGAAAAAGATATAGCGACAAACAATTTATGGTTAACGCACGCCTCCCTTCATTTTATGCTTTCAAGGACATTTTGTATATTATTTTACGGCTTTGTGTGGGTGATAAATATAGTGCTTATTCTATACTTCCTCCAAAAGTTTCAATTGATGATATTTTCATTCCAAAAGTATAGGCTTGTTTGCTTTCTTTGAGAGTGGCTAACCTCAGAAGGAATCATTTAACTTTCCAAAAGAAATGTGTCACCAACTCCCTTACTAGAAGTCTTTGTTGATGATAATTATTTAGAGGGATGCATTCCAAAATCAATATGTAACTGCTCATCTTTAAAAGAATTATACTTGTTCACCAACTCATTTATAGGCATGTAGTTGTGTAAGTGCATTTTTTTCTAATCTTTTTCTCCCAATAAATTAAATGTAAAAAAGAATTTATTTTTCATCATCTCATTCATACTATACATTCACGTAATGGGTTGATTTTATCCTTAAAATAAATGTATATTATTCTGTCATTAAAACTTTCTTGAAGAGTTTTTCAAAATGAGTAAGCTTTACAAGGCACATATATGAAATTTTCAATTTTTTTTGGATAATCTAAATTACATATTAATTTATGATTTATTATTATTTTCTTAAAAATCTTTTAGTTCTAGATTATATTATTTAATTGCAAAGTCAATTATGAATTAAATAATGATAGAATTATATTTGGGTGTTGATTATGTCAAGTCATTTGTACCTAAATAATATTGAACAAACACATTTTGTGACGTGTTTAATTGTTTATGTTCTTTTCATCTTCTATAAAATAAATTTGAAATGATTTTTTTTTCATCGTTTCATTCATTTTGTGTGTTCATATTGTGTTTTTTTATGACACACACTCATGTAATGGTGAGGGCACAATTTTTTAAAGAAAAAAAAATCGTGAAATAGTCAAACAAAATATTGAATCAATTTGTGAAAAAGCATTCCCAATGCAACTAAGTAACTGGACACCTTTGAAAGATTTTATAGCATATGGGTGAAAAGCTTCTAAGAACAATTAATTTTTATTATTTGTTTTCTCCATAACGATCTAATCTTAATATCTTATAGGGATTATAGAAATGATCAACTGGTTGGGTTTTGATGCTTTTCTCTTTCCTTTTATTTCTTATTTCCAGTCCTTGCATTTTTCATTTTAAAAGGAAGTTTTTCTTCTTTGTTTTTTTTTTTAATATACAAACATAGACAATCCATCTAAATTTCTCAATGAATTACATTAAAACACACACTCACATCCCATACATGAAAACTAATTTATTCTATGGTTATATTTGTCTTGCCAATTAGGGGTCATCGCTTTTAAAAAATAATTGGAGCTCTATATCATCATTTAATTAGAGCGTGTTAGTGTTATTTCTCAATGTGAGCAATTCTTCAATGGTGTTCTAAAAAATATAAATTTATTTGATATTCTCCTTAAAAAAAACATGTGTTTGAGCCTCCAAAACTTGAATTATTTTATGTGCATATAAATGATTTGTTGGGTAACATTATCCTTGGATGGCTCCAATAGGGAATATACATCAAGTGATAATTGGAATGTTTTATACTTTTTTGATCAAATGGAATGTTTAAAGTTTATTATATCCTCGATATGTTCATACATATTCATGAATATTGAAATATTTTTTAATATACATTCGCTATTAATATTCTAAGATAGAATTTTTAATTTTGCTATCAAACTAGTTAGATGTTTCCCAACACTATTCATGTGGGTGTGTAGTTTTTTATGAATTATTTAATTCATTACAAATATGAAAATCATAGACACACATATGGTAATATTTTTGTGACAACTATTATTATCTGATTTAACCTCATATCTAACATTATGGACAGTATCGATTATATATAAAAAGAAGAAAGAAATCTCGGGCCAAGGCCTGGTGGAAATCTTTGTGTATATGTGTGTGTGTTTATTCTATTTATCATTGTCAGATTAATTTCTTGACTCCTAAAAAATGGCCATCAATTAATATAGTTTCATATAGCTTTCTTGTTTCATTCTATCATTATCTTGTTTTTATTCTCTCCAAGATCAATTTAGTGTTAAATGATTAATCAGAGTCTTGTACTATCATATCTTACTTTAATGTAATTTTAGTTGTTCACTTTTAAATTGTAACAGGTGAAATTCCATTGTCTCTCTTTAGCATTTCTACTCTAAGAAATGTAGTTTTAGCCAAAAACAATTTGAATGGTAATCTTCCAATACTAGCTGGAAATGAGACATTGCTAGAAAAATTACAACTGCAGTACAACTCTTTTACAGGTATGCTCAATCTACCCATTCTTTACTTTTATTCTTTGACAAACTTTTCATTTATTATTATGATTATTCTATATCGTTAGCAAAAATTTTGATTGAAACCACTTTAAGAGTAAAACTTATAGTATACTTGATACATTTAATGCGATCCATTTTTCTTAATTAACCACTAACTTCTAATTTTTATGTCAAGAAAAGTTGTTGCACACATGGCTCTTACAAAAATCCATTTAATTTTTACGTGAGGTAGCTGCAAAAAGGTTATTGTATATTTTCTACTAATGTTAGGCCTTTAATGATCAAATTTCCATGTATTATTTATATCGTTGTGTGAGAATTTGGGGTATTACCAGTCTTATGCATACTAACAACAAACAAACATTTTGTACTTTGTTTAGGTGGAATTCCTTCATTTATTTGGAACATGTCTTCTTTGAGAGTGGTTAACCTTGGCATGAATCATCTAAATGGTAATTTGCCAGAAGAATTGTGCCAACAACTCCCTTTACTAGAAATCTTTGATGTTGACAGTAATCAATTAGAGGGAAGCATTCCAAAATCAATAAGTAATTGCACATCTTTAAAGAAATTGTATTTGGATGGTAACTCATTTACAGGTATGTATGATGTACTTATATTTATGTTTCCATTTTTTAATCTCTTTTATGAATGGAGTAAATCTAAAATAGGATTTTGTTTATCAACATTTCATTCATGATTTCTTCTTGTTCATTCATATTGAAATGGAGTAAATCTAAAATTCCATTGCTTTTGTTGTAAAATTTTATGCGTCTCCTAATAACTTTAATTTTATATTTTTTCTCCACTTATTTAAGAAGACATTTTTTTTATCTGTCTTAACTTACTTCTTTTTAATTTTTTCAATTTTTTTAATCTTGCATATTCATTAAATCTTCTGTGGTTGAAACGACTATTACTTCAAATTATTTTTGTTATATTTTACGTAAGTTTAAGACATATTCTTAAACATGCTAGATTTAGTAATATTTGATAGTTTTTGTATGATAAAGTAAATTTTATATAAATACATTAAAATACAGACAATTTTGGAGTTGCATTTTTCTTATTCATTATATAAAAAATATTTAAATACGTATGCAAAATAAATTACAAATTATAATATTGAAGTAAATTACAAAAATTAAATGCCGCCCAAAAACGCTAGTTCAACCATATTTGAGCTAAAACTAATGAACCAGAGTACGAGATGTTTTCAATAGTCAGACAAATAATTAGATTGTTTCACTTTAATTCATTAATGTTTAAAGAGGAATTGTTCCGCACCTTCAATTCTCTAGAAAATTAATAAAACTTTTCAAATGAAAGTTTTTCTTATTATAAGTTTTGAACAATTATCTAGTTTGAAATTAAAAGATGTTGCAAAATACATACATACATACACACAGAGAGATGTATATATATATATATATATATTTATATTTATAATAGGAATAATGGAATTTTAGTCCCTTAAATTTGCTTCAATTATCAAGTTGGTTTTTTAAGTTTAATTTTTATTGATTTGGCTCCATATGTTTGCCTCAGTTAATGATTAGTTTTTATTATTTAAAGAGGAGATAATGCTATTAAAATTTGCTGACATAAATAATAAAATATTAATGACAATAAATTAATAAAAAGAAGTATAATTATTTATGTAGGAAAAAATAGACAGAAATTTTTTTTTTAAAAAAAGACAAAATGCAGCATAAATGACTAGATTGATAAAAATTAAACTTATTTAAGCACTATTTTTTTTCCATTTAGGTACCTATACATGCCATGTTATCAACATATATTACATAAATAGAGTAATTTAAGAGCTTATTTGTGTTTTAAAACTTAAAGGACTAACACAATAATTTTAAAAAAAATATAAAAAACTAAATTTATAAAATTAAATTTGAGGAACCAAATGAATAACAGACATAAACTTGAGTGGCTAAAAGTTTTATTATTCTTAAATGGAACAAGTGGACTTATTATGTATGATGTGGAACTTTTTTATTTGAATTAAGAAAAGTATACTTGATAATTTCTCACTTCAATTGTACCAAAAAAAAAAACCAGCCCAAAAGTAGTTTAATTTTATTTTTAAAAATTTTCAATAGTTCTGTTTTATTTTATAAATTTAATAATTTCCAATCAAATAATTATTAAACAATTACAATAAGAATTTCCCGATACATGGCATATGTATTGTTTTTTTGCCATATATATATACATATATATATTATGCAAGCACCAGAAAAGGAAATGTTATTGCCCATCTTTTTTTTCTTCCATTTCCAAGTGTGTCAACATTGAAAAGATTTTATCTTGCTCTTATTAACTTTAAAACTATGTTTTCTCCCTTTATTAAACAGTACATCCTTTCCCCGCTTAGTTTTCATTTTCAAAATTTTCAATAGTTTTTGTTTTATTTCACAAATTTATTGATTTCCTATTAATAACTATTCAACAATTACAAAATAAAAACTTCAATTTTAAAATAAATCTTCTATAATCATGGATCTCAAACATAGTTTATGATTTCCCTATTTTTTATTTTAAAAACATACTTAATTATGCAAAATTAATTAGCAAAACGCAAATATTTAAGCTCTTGAACTACTAACATATGTGTAGTTTTTTATGTTATAATACATATGTAAATTTTGGCTAAAAAAAATATATTGAGTTTTTTATGTTATAATATATATATACATATATTATGCAAGCAACATTGAGTGGCTAGGAAGTGTTGTTAGCTATCTTTTTCTGTGTTTCCAGGTTTTATACCCAAGGAAATGGGCAGTTTAGCTGAACTTGAAGTGTTATCTATGGCCATAAACTATTTGAGTGGACCCATTCCTTTTAATATATTCAACATTTCAACATTGACAAGCTTACGCCTTGACTCTAATTCGCTCTCTGGTCTTCTCCCATCATATTTAGGAATGGGCCTTCCCAACTTAATAGAACTACGGCTGACGGGGAATGAACTAACTGGACAAATTCCAAACAGCATATCAAATGCTTCTAAGCTCATTTCATTAGATTTGTCATTGAATAAATTTAATGAAGCTATACCTAATATGCTCGGAAATCTGTCAAACTTGATACAATTATCTGTGGATGGGAATGATTTGAATGGGTTGATTCCTCATACAATTGGCAAATTACATAGCCTCCAATACTTAAGTCTTAGCAGCAATGGATTGCAAGGGTCCATTATAGATGAACTTTGTCAACTCAAAAGTCTAAGTGAATTGTATCTTGCCAACAACATGTTTTCAGGAGTGGTTCCAAGATGCCTTGGGAATACTTCTTTACGGAAGTTGAATTTGAGCTCTAACAAATTGATTTCTCATATACCCTCTTCCCTTTGGAGTCTCAAAGATATCTTGGCAATAGACATGTCCTCCAATGCATTGAGTGGGACAATTTCACCAGAGGTATCAAACTTGAGAACAATTATATTATTGAACTTGTCACGAAATCAAATTTCAGGAAGCATCCCTACAACTATGGGTGGCTTGCAAACTTTGATAAGCTTATCATTGGCCCAAAACAAATTACAAAGGCATATTCCTAAATCACTTGGTAGCATGGTAAGTTTGGAGTCCATGGATCTTTCTCATAATTACTTGTCTGGTGTGATTCCAAAATCCTTAGAGTTATTAGTTCATCTTCAACACATTAATCTTTCTTATAATTTATTGCATGGAGAAATTCCAAGTAGGGGGCGGTTTCAGAATTTCACTGCTGAATCTTTTATGATGAATAATGGTCTTTGTGGGAAGTCCCTATTACAAGTTCACCCATGTAGGGAAGAACACAAGCACATATCAAATAAAGTGAAGCTATTGATAAAGTGCTCATTGCCTATCATATGCATGGTTGTCATTTTGGTTGTTTTAGGCATTGTCTTTTTAAAGTGTAAGAGAGATCATGTTAATGATTCAACCAACAGGGATTTAATAGATTTTGACATTCCAACTAGGATATCCTATTATGAGCTCTGGCAGGGAACAAATGGATTTGATAAGAGTAATCTTCTTGGCTTTGGAAGTTTTGGATTGGTATACAAAGCAACTCTTCCAAACTCAAAAATAGTTGCTGTCAAAGTATTTAAGGTAGAAATGGAAGAAGCATTAAGAAGTTTTGATATTGAATGTGTTGCCATGTGCAATTTACGCCATCGCAATCTCATTAAGATCATCAGTTGTTGCTCAAATGATCATTTCAAATCTCTAATAATGGAATTCATGGAAAATGGGAGTCTTGACAAATGGTTATACTCTCATAACTATTGTTTAAATGTCTTGCAAAGGTTGAACATAATGATTGATGTGGCAGCTGCTTTGGAATACCTTCACCATAGTTCTTCTACACTAGTTGTTCATTGTGATGTGAAACCAAGCAATGTTTTATTAGATGAAGATATGGTGGCTCATCTTAGTGATTTTGGTATTGCTAGATTGTTTAGTGAAGGACAACTAGAAATTTATACCAAAACTTTGGCTACAATTGGCTATATGGCTCCAGGTAATGGTATAATAAAATTTTCTGGACTTATTGATATGTTCTTTTGTTTGTTATGCTTTATAAAATTTTAGACCATTTTATTTCTAAAAATTTGTTTGTTAACTATTCAACAGAGTATGGATCAGAAGGAGTTGTTTCTGTCAAAGGAGATGTGTATAGTTATGGTATTTTACTAATGGAAATGTTTACAAGGAAGAAGCCAACGGATGAGATGTTTGTTGAAGGATTAAGTTTGAAGCATTGGGTTAGCAAATCAACACCACATTCAATCACCAATATTCTAGATGCCAATTTGCTACTCAAAGAACATCAAAATATTTGTAATATATTACCTTATATGTCATTAGTTTTTGAGCTAGCATTGAATTGTTGCCATGACTTACCTGAGGCACGACTTTCGATGGCTGATGTTGTGGTGTCATTAAAAAAAATCAAGGTTATATTTATGGAAAATGTTAGAGGCACTTCAAGTTGAATAATTGTTAAAACAAATTTTAGCTACTATTCCTTTAACGTTTTTTGTAAATTCTTTTTGGAATATGTACTCTTATAAAATGGAGTGATGTGTGTTGTAATAATATATGATGTGAAATTTGAAATTTTCTTAATTGATTATATGGGTTTTGGATTTCTTCATGTTGTTTCTTTCTTTCTTTCTTTTTACTTTTTGGCATTTTGTTTTTCAATAATAAGAACCTAAATTCTACATTTTGTATTCACTAATTATTTGATTTGGGAAGAAATGGTCTTCTAAATAAATCAAAATAAGCACTACAATTTTCTTTTTCTCATTTACTATTCTCTAAATAATTATGTATTAGAAATCTCTTGTGAGAAGAACTTGAATAACTAAAGCAGTATCATTAACTCCAAAGAAGATGTTTAAAGAAGAACATATTGACAATTTATTTTGTTTATATATCTCATTGATTTTCGCAATTATGAATCAAGTGATCCATGACATGCTATCACTCAAACTTTCACTTTGGTTTTCCAAGTTTATTCTTTTTAATAAAAAAGAATCAATACTTTATCATTCAATCAATCTATTGAGAAGTTTTTTCAAAAATATTCAATATCTTTAGTGAGTCTTTAAAAAAATTGCACATTAATTCATATATTCCAATATGAAGAGTATTTATACAGGATATATAAGTGACTAAAAATAAAAATGAATCTATGTACAATAATTAATATATATATATACAATGGAAGAATAATGTCATATAATATCAGCCTATAAGAATAATATCATATAATATTAGTCTCTACTACCCCCTGCAATCTGGAAAATGTATGTCACACATATCCAGCTTAAATAAATAAAATAAATTAGTAAAATAGAAACCAAAAGGTATGAAACTTTGATATAGTTTTTCTTATCTTAAAATAATGAAAAAATAATGGTAAAAAATGTTGAAGTAACTACAAAATTGATGTCTGAAAAGAAAAGAGTACTAAAAATTAAAGGAGCAATATCAACCCTCTAGATGGAATAAGAAATTAATTATTGCTCTTTTATGTTCAAAAACTCATATACATTTGATAGGAATTAGTCGCTTATTCTCAAAATTAAACTAAAGACAAGCCTAATGCAATATAAGGCCAACCCTAGGTCATCTCTCAAGGAATGGTCTTAGTCTAATTAAAAGTTATCTAGTGGAATAAATCACCCAAAATTATAGGAATTTAGTTACCTAATTATCTAAACTAATTACCTAATGTGCAGGTAATTAAAATGCTAGTGAAAGTGAGTGAAATGAACTTTCCTTTTCACAAGAGTAGAACCCTATAGACTAGTTGATTTTGGACTCATTATCTTCTCATGATTAGGTTAAATTTAGCTTCCCTTTCCTATTGTCTAAAGCTGTCATGACTTAAGAAAATGATCCTAAACCAATTAACCTAATTAGCTAACTTCCCTAGGTCTTAGATTAAAGTCCCTAGTTCAATTAACCAATTGGTGAAGAATTAGCCAAGTGATTCACTCAAAATCTTCTCTCAACAGCCATGGCCAAAACATTAATGTGAGTAACCATAAGATTATGTCAAGCTACTCAACAATATAAGTATTAACACCACAAGATTATGCAATATCAACACATGTAATTCACTAAATGAAAAACACAAGATTATGTGCTCAACATGAATCAATCATGGCAGCCTAAAGAAGAAATTAAATGAAACAATCATCTTCTCTTTACATCAACATCAAATTCAAATTAAAATTTACAAGCCAAGATGATCAAACCCTAGATTAAGCAATCTAATCATCTAGTAAAAAGAACTTAGCCATATTGAAGCTTAAGACTCATCCTCCATCTTCATCTCTCTAGGATTCCACCAAAAAACTTAGCCAATCTTCATCATCTTCAAGAACCCTAGGTTGGAAGCTTGTTGATTGAAATTCATCGAACTTGGGATGAAGAAAATGAGCTTAGAACCTTGTGAAATAGGAAGGGATGGAACAAAAATAAAGAGAGGGGAAGAATGGTGTGAGTTTTGTGAAAGTTTAGTGGCTGAAAATGGAGGTTATAGTGCTGGAAAATGAGGAACAAAAGAAAGAAAATGAAGAACACTATGGACAAGAGAGAGAGAATGTGGAAGATGAATGAGATGAGTGTTGGATCTGAATTAGGGAGCTGAATGGTGTGCCCAAGGTGTTTCCCATCAGCTGATCCTGATTAAAAAAAATAAGAAAAGAAAATAAAAAGGAAAATGGGAGCCTTATCACACTTGGAAGGTGACAATCTTCTATTGGTTGGTAGATGATTATAATGTGTGTGTAATTTCCCATGTGTCATCCACATTTTCAAGCTGATTTAATCCCTGAATAAAGCCTCATTCACGTGCAAACCATCATCTTTGACCTCAAGGAGTGTTGACTTTAATTGCCCAATTGATGCACAAGTCACATGCCACCTATGTCACATAAATAACATAATTTAATTAAATAGCATGTGATATAATAAAATCTAATTAATTTTCAGAATTAAATTCATAATTATAAGGGACAATTTATTAAATTAACCAAGTTCTAGGATGCACAAAATTATATAAAAATTTTCACACAAAGGCAAATAAAAAACTAGGTCAAACTAATACGCTTAAGAAAGTGTTGACTTTTTTTAATTACTCCCAAAATAAAATAAATTTTAAAAATATAATTTTACCACTCATCAACTGGACATAAAATGCACTTTGTCAATTTTTCTTGTACATTTTCTCAAAATTTTATTTTTTGGACTAAAATGCCCCTAGTGCACTAAACCTAGAAACTTAGGCAAAATTTCAAATCTAATGCAATGTGTGCACTTTGAGGTAATAAATCATTAATAAAAAGGTCTTAATTGACAAATAAAAGCGGATAACAAATGTATTCTATAAACATTATATAAAACATTGAAAGGTGCAGCACCAAGAGGCTTAGTATAGATGTCAACCTACGTACATTCTTTGACATTCCATAACACATTCCATGTCAACCTACGTACATTCTTTGACATTCCAAAAAAAAAAGGGAGGTCATATCAATAAGGTTGGATCTAATGGAAGGAACTAGTCTCTCACAACATGACAAACCAGAGTTTAAATCTCCGTTGGAAGAAGTGCTTATATTTAGTATCCAACCGTGCTTCAAACAAAATCACCTCTAATAGAAGGATATTTGTGAGCAATTTAAAAAAAAAGGAGGTCATCCCTAAATAGAATATGAGAAATATTACTCCCCTTTCTACCTACCACAAATGTACAAGTGACATTAAGACATTAATGCCTAATTGCCTATGGTAAATAAAAAAATTATTGTGATAACCCAACTTAAAAAAAGATTTAAATTAAATTATAATAAAATATAATAAAATTAATAGAAGTAAGGTTAAATATAATTATAATAAAGTAGAATAAAAAATTATTCAATTTAAAATCCTATAAAATGATCTTATCAAATCATTTAGATATCCATCCCATAACTGATAAGATTTCATATAATATGTCAACGAAATAATCTTGAAATAGGTTTAAAAAAAACTAATAAAGAATCAACAATAAAATAGACTTTATCAACATTTATATATATATATATATTAAACATAATTAATAGAAAGCCCTAACCTTATAACTTTCTACTTCTATAGTTTCAATTGCCATCACACCCATTCATGAGCTCAATCACAATAGAAAGTCTTTGTAATAACCAAAATTTTTTAAGTAAAATTAAAATATGTAATATTGTGTTTTAATTGTAGTTATATTAATTTTAGGAATATATATATCAAGACAAAGAGTTTGTCTAGTGGCTACTATGTCACACCTCGATACTAAGGATATGATCAGCATGGAATATAAAGTGAACTCACATTCCATAAGCCTTGATTAACTAGAAATTAAACTAAAATAGTGATATATGCAAGTTATATATATAATAGTAAAGTTTGTAAAGTTTAAAGTTTTTATAAAAATTTTGGCAGAGTCTTCCCTAAAATTTAGACCTCCCAAAATTTCCACAACAATGACAGAATCTACCAACTAGACTAGCAAGGAGTCTAGCTCCATTCCAACAATTTTGACAATAACAAAATAAAAATAGGGTCTAACTATGGTGTACGTGGATCACTAACTTATAATTTACAAAATACAATATAAGATTTTACCAAAAAGAATAATCACCATATGCTTTCTTTTTTCAAAAAGCAAGAAGGACCACAATAGTTAGTTGGAGGTGCAGGGTCAGCTATGATATTTGAGATTAAAAACTTTACCGGTGAGTAGTGCTCCGTTCAAGATTATAATAAATAAAATATAAAGATAATAAATAACAAATTTAACTTCAAATAACTTAATGAAATAATGAATTATCCAAAATTTGAAATAAATAATGATTTTTCATAAAAGTGTGATTGTGAATTGAGACAAGGCTGATAGAATCACATATGTGTATTAAAAATTTTACTACTCATAAAATATAAAGACTTACAATAAACACAATTATACAAAGTACTTTCAGAGAATTTCTAGAAAATGATAAATTTTAATTTGAAATTTTAGGAGGGTTTTATCATAACGAATAACAAGCATGGACACACAGTTCACGAGAGTAAATAACCAATTAAGTATAGACACACAGTCCCCGAGGGTAAGTAACTAGTCAAGCACAGACGAAAGCCACGAAACAAGCACGACAAAAGCCACAAACCAAGTGTAGGCTTGAAGCCTACAAATATAAGCCTGAGTACGATACTCATAAATAACCATCCCTTCGTTTCACATGTGTTGGCTATCACACGGGGCTAACACCTCCTATAAGCACCCTGCTAGTTAGGTGTACCATGGTGTGCTAAGGGCTAACGGGACTGTTGTTAGCATCCAGTGTTCTGAACTCAGTCCTTCTCAATAAAATCAACTATATATGGAGCGAGAAAACATTTTCAAAATTTTTTCTACCAAAAACCATTCAACCATCATTTTCTATTGCCCAATTCAATCATTATTTCCTCCATACATGAGTTATTACATTAAAATTTTATATCAACATAAAATTTAGTAATTAAACGACTAAAAATGTACATCATTAATCATTTGTA